ATTTCTCCGCTCATGATGGTCCATTACTGTCATTATCACTGTCTTAGTTATTGTTGTTATTATTATCATTATTATTATTATCACAATCGTTATCATAATGTCATTTTCGTTATCATCAACTTTATTATCAAGGCTAATTAGATATGATAATGACCATTATTATCGTTATTATTGCTATTACCATTATTAATATTATTATTATCACTTTTATTACCTATTAGTTTTTGCTATTGTAATTATTGCTATTATCGTTATAACTATTGTTAGCATCATTATCATCATTACTATTATCATAATTATTATCACTATTGCTATTATTATCATTATTATAATTGTTATTATTATTATCATTATTATTATTATTATTATTATTATTATTATTATTATCATTGTTATTGTTACTATTACCGTTATTGTTATAATTATCATCATTATCATTATTATTATTATTATTATCATTGTTATTGTTACTATTACCGTTATTATTATAATTACCATCATTATCATTATTATTACTACTATTATCATTATTATTACTATTATCATAATCATTATTAATATTGTTATTATTATTATTATTATTATTATCATTATTATTATTATTATCATTATTATTATCATTATTGTTATTGTTGTTGTTGTTATTATTATCGTTATCGTTACTATCATTATTACTATCATTACTATGACTATTATCTTTATTATCATTATTACTAATACTATTACTACTATCATTATCAATATTAGCAGTAAAGTAGAAATATCATTAATGATATTATTATGACTATGATCATCATCATTATTACTGATATTATCATTATCATTATTATTGATATTGTAATTTTCATTATGGCCATAATCATAATCATTATATTAGCATCATTATCATTAGTATTAATCATCTTCGTCAAGAGAGAAAATTGAACAATAACAATAACAAGAAAGAAAATTATCAAGACGAAAAAAAAGTTAAAAAAAACGTCAGTAAATTCAAGAAAACACACAGACAAAAAAAACATCACATTCAAAATGCAAGCACTAACTCACCTTAATTGACTCACTCACCACAAAATTACTCACCCACCGTACTTGAATAAAAAGTAGGAGAGAGAGAGAGAGAGAGTGTGAGTCCCGCCTCCTGCCCTCGCTTGCGCAGAATGAGCGAGTGAGAATGTGATAACTTTTTGCATCGCGGCGGCCCCTAGTTCTCTCATCTGCCGATAGAGGGATCATAGTCCGTCTGCTTGATGTGAATTGAGTTTGTTTGTTTTTTTGTTATTTTAGAAGCGAGACTTTCTTTTATGTCTTCATTGTTCGTTGTTTGTTATTATCGGTTTTTACTCGCAATATTGTTATCGTTATCGTTTTTTCTTTGGCTGTTTTGATTTGTAAGTGAATGTGCATGTTTATTATCATCGTTATCGTTATTATCATTATTATTATTATTATTATTGTTGTTGTTGTTGTTGCATTATCATTGTTATTATTACTACTATTATCGTCATTTTTATCATTATTATTGTTGTTATTTTTGTTGTTACCATCATATGTATAGTATCATTACTATTAGCATTACAATTATTGTTCCTATTATTATCATCATTATTTTTACAACTACTTCTGTTATCATTATCATTATGGTTGCTATCATTGACAGTCTTATCATAATCAGCCTTATTATTGTTATTATCATTAACATTACCCATTGTATTATAATTACTGTTATTCTTACAAATCTTTACCATCATTATCGCTATAATTAGTTACCGTTACCATAGTCGATGTCATTTTTATTACATATAACGATATTCATGTTACTGGAATTATCAGTGATTGTTTTCATCAATATTTTAATAATTACCATTACCTATTAGTGTTATTACCGTTATCATTATGATGGTATTTGTTATAATCTTCATATCAATTATACCACTACATTAATCAGTATTTTTGTTATTGTTATTGTCTTTTATTGTTGCTATTGTTATCACTGGTTCTGCTTTGTTTAGTGACAATGTGGATGTTGGTGAAAGTGACAATAATTTATAAGGAATTACAGAATGTAGTCATTAATAAAATCACTAAAATAATATAAGGTTTCAAAAGATATAAACTTATAAACTTTCATCATTTTTATTACGTAAGTAAAATAGAAACATACAGAGGGACAGATAAAGAAAATGATAAAGAGAAAGATGTAGACAGAGAGTAGCAAGTGTAAGAAATCTATATTATTGTTCAAGTTGCCACGTCCTTTGGGTTAAAATTACTAAAGTACTTGACATTAATATATGTTGATTCGAAATCAGCTATATATCTATATTTTACGTCTTATATTACATTGTTAATGGAATTTATACTTAATACGTATATTAAGTTGTCATTATTGGCGTTTGAAATTAAAATAACTTAATATGTGTGACAAAATATTTGAAAATATGAAAGACAAAAATAGTTAATCTTTAATTAGTATATATCACTAATTAATAATAATAATACA